TCCATGGACATGTATGAGGATGTTTTGTTACAGTCATGATTATATGTGAATCATCACTGAAATGCAGTTGTTTATTTTTCATTTGTTTATCATTTATTTTAGAAAAAAACACCAAATACTCGATGTATCAATGCAGCAGACATGTGTAAACTATGTCCAAACATATTTGTATATGAGGAAATCACATTTCAATTTCCATGGTGGTAAGACTTCCGTCCGTATCCCCCCTAATTTTTTACGATGAGGAAACTTTCTTTGAGTGGCATATTTAGAAGTAGAATATGTCTTTCAGTATGTTCAGATACAATGAACAAAACACGTTAAAACTCATCCTTATCAGATGAGGAATATATATTCAGGTGATATGATTTGACTAGAATTAAATTTAAGGCGGGATACAGGCGAAAGTCTTTCCACAATATTTTGAAGCTATTGACATCATCAAACGTCAAACGATAACTCTTCAGGTCTCATAAAAAATGAAAGTTGGGCAAGCCCTCAATACCACCTAAATATAAGGCTTTGCAGCCCATAGGGCTTACACGAAAACATTGGCTTGCTACGCGCCTGGCAAACGCAAGAGAATTGCAATACGGGCCTCTAACCACTGATTCTCCGTGACCTGGAGACACATGTGACTGAGCGTATGTTGGGACGTCGTCTGTCATACAGACCCTGAAGCAAATACATCCAAGCCGACGCAAGTCTACAAAATGTGGCAAGTCTAGATTTCCACAGCTCCAGGAGAAAGTCTCAGGGCTCCTTTTCGTTATATTATTATTAATTTTTTTCACTATGAACTTTTTTTCTGTAAAATATGTTCACATCAGAGACTAGTTGTTAATCTAGTTCTGACGGGTAGAAGACAAAAGACAAAATGGATACTAGTGCTGTTACATTTTTTAAATTATATATAAACATTCGTCCTTGTCTCGGGATAAATGTATATTTTCCACCAAATGTACATTCGGAGGATATCGAAATCTAGGTTAAGCTATTTGAATCATATTTACAATTAAAAGACCCAAACAATGGTTTGTTGTCCAAATTTTTGGTTTTCCATATCTTGTCCCAGTCTGTATCACAGTCACGGAACGATATTTGTTCCCCTTCCGTCTCTAGGAAAACTCACTGCAGGGTTCGGGTTATAGAGTGCCATACCAAACACCCACAGCTGGCGGGACCAACATCTCCAGTAACATTTACATCTGCCAACGCTTAATTCGCAAGTGGTGAGGCAATAAGCTAATGAGGCTAAGGGTCTAATGAGGCCTTATATGAAGTCTATCATCTAAGCACGTCTAGCTATGTATGGCGTAAGTCACTGCTTGAAGAAAGGCTCCTTTAGAATGTTATTTGGTAAATATTAGTAGTTCCATCATATTGGAAAATACATAGACTAACGCTTAGTGTCTGAACATACATAATTTTGATAGTAACAAACAAACCCATTTAAAATGAAAAGGAGCCCCAGGGAGACACGAGATTCAGTCCGGCCTGACATGGCAGTTACATATGCTTACTTTGTAATCCGACCCCCAAAGTGAGTTAGGTTTCTTGCAGATGTTAACAGACCCTGGACCTGAGGAGATCTAGACTTGCTTCATTTAAGGCTTTAGCATTGCAGAGAGGGCTTGGCAGTAGGGAAAATAATGTGGTTCAGGGACTGTGAGACAGACTAAGCAGTAAGGAAAATAATGTGGTTCAGGGACTGTGAGACAGCCTAGAAAATGCATGACAACCTACACTTCATTGTGACTATGATTAAGGCATCATTTAAAACACAAGGGTTATTTCCTTTGCGTTAACTGACAGGCTTTCGGTGTCAAATTATTTGGAGCTCCGGCCAAAGGTAATGTTATGCTGTCTGGAAATATGGCCTTTTTGTAATGCTTTGGTTGCACATAATGATAAGTGATTGTTGTACATATGATGTTTCTGAAGGATAATCTCAGCTGACTAATACTTTGCACGTGTTTCCCCCCACTCTTTCCATACCCGTCAAAGTTAATTTTCCATATATATGTCTGTAAGAAAATACTGTAAAGTAATGGTATGGCTGAATTTGGCCACCTGAGGTAGTGACCACAGCACTCTGGTTATACTGCACTGGGAGAAGACAGAGCTTGGCAAGATACCAATAAATATGCTTGTCATTTAAACCTTTATCTGATGTTTGTGGAATGTGATTTTATAATTGAAGATGCTTCCTGCACCTGTACCCCAAATATAGATGTTGTTAGTCTGTGAATCTTCCAAATTACTTCGTCTCTTTTTTTCAATTGAAATTAAGATCTTTGCCTTTTATCCAAATAATATATTTTCAGTCTTAATGTGCCCATGTCGGGAATCGAACACCGGTTTTTGACCTGACAGGCGAACACTTTAACCACGAGCCTACCCCATCATTCCTTGATGATGTATACATAGGTACATTTATTATACATTCAGTTTTGTCACCATATATCCTTCAGTTTTTATGTTAGTACTTGATTTGCACACTGATAATTTAAAAGAGGAATATAAATAATGATTGTTTGCGATCTTTATCCAATTTAGTTTTCCATTTATCTAGTAATTTTCAGTTTCTATTTCCTGGAAATTCTGTACGAAGGTACTTTTAACAGTTTCACCCAATAACAGTAAAGCATACAGATAATACGTTTCGGTACTTTGATAGATTAATAAGTACATATTATATTCCATGATAAATGAGATACCAATATGATTAACATAATTATATAATGTATAACAAATTAGACAGCAAAAAGCAAAAGCAAAAAAAGAAAACGCATGAGCAACATAAATGCTGTCAAGTAGTAAGCTTTCAATAATTATCGAACCTGCTTAGTTATGAGCTAATTGCAATCACTACAATTTTCTATAGTCTACCCAAGAGATGGTAACAAAATAGGTCTACAGTATATTCCGTCGGGTAACTGAAATTTGAGAAAACGTCCGTATGGGATGATACCTGTGTTCCGAATCAAAAAGAGGTCATACCAAGTATGTGCATTTTCACACATTTACAACAGTAATTTACACCGGGAATCATTAATACATTGTAATCATCTTTTATGAAAGTATAGATAATGAAATTTTTCAGTTATGATCAGTCGGATAACTCATACAAGTGAGCACTAAAATTAGGGACCTACCGGTTCATGTCTGTGTGAACACATCTGTCTGTGTTTTATTGTAATTAGCAGTGTCTCCTTGTATAGCATATATAAGAAGTGTACCTAAGGTCAGTTATTTAAACTATTATGTAATTTCCATTACAAAAAAGTATAAACGATATTACCTACTGGTCAGAAAGACTTATCAGTACCCCAACACCGATACACGGATGAAACGAGTATTTCCTAACGTTAGTAAATTTGGGTAATACACTCATTTTGTGTGGTGGTAGTACGTTTGTTTGTTATTTAACGCCACACTCCGCAGTATTCCGGTTATATGGCAGCGGTCTGTAAATGATCAAGTTTAGACCAGGCAATCCAGTAATCAACATCATGAGCATCGATCTACGCAGTTAAGATACGATGACATGTGTCAACCAAGTCAGTAAGCTTGACCACGCAATCCTGTTAGTTGCCTCTTACGACAAGCATGGGTTGCTGAAGCGCGATTCTAACCCGGATATTCACGGGTCGGATGTTGTATTGGATATATTCACCTCTAAACATTTTACAGACAGCCGTGTCATGGTCAGTCCCATAATGACTAATATTATAATACAAGATAGAGTTTAATAGGGTCTGGGAAGACAACTATGACTCACCCCACTGTATCATTTCTGACTTTTATACAACTGTGCTTATACAAATAGCTTCTTCAACTTCAAACTTTAAACTTTGTATTTCTGTTATTCTGTAATATTCTTAAATACAAGACAGAGTTTAATAGGGACTTGGAAGACAACCCTGTCTCACCCCACTGTATCATTTCTGAGTTTTATACCACTGTTTCCATCTGTTATTTCTGTCTTACACAACCGGTAAATTCCGTTGACATACGACTCCTGGCTGAACAGAACGATACAGGATGGAACGACATGCGTGACGACAGAGTTTAGAAATGCATGCACCGTCATCTTCCCCCGACTACAGCGTAACTACGTTCACTGTGTGCATTCCGTACAGACATGAACAGCTCAAATAGGGTCAGAACAGGGCTGTATATCATTGCAGTGTTGAGCAGACACACTAGATAAAACTCTAGACAATCTATAGCAGTATCAAAGTCTATACATAAAACTGTCTATATGTATATAACGGTTTTAAAAAGTGGTCGACTTATGAATATTAATCGACATCCTCTCCAAAAATAAAGTTAAACCCATGAATATTCCGTCCTCAAAACACAACTTCATGACCGGTTGTACTTGTATAGTATCGTTAACCACTTATAATACAAGATAGAGCCACAACAGGTAGATACAGCAGATTACCCTAGACGATATATAGCAGTTAATACTACATGCTTTACCTGTTAACGCTTCTATCTGTCTTAAGCTATGTGTAGTTAAGTGACTTCCTCATGCTATTGCAGTCCTACTTTGTACTATATAAACACTTCCCTACACTGGTATATATGCCTCTCAATCTATTCTGTTCATTACCTGCTTGATTACGGTGTTAGAACCTACACCGAAACGTCGCTCTCACTGGATTAAAGAATTTGTTCATCCATATAGTGTTATCCTTCCTCACTGCTTCTAAACGCCTCTCAAAGAAGATGTATAGCAGTATTAAAGTCTATATCTAAAACTGTCTAATGTGTATGTAGCGGTTTTAAAAAGTGGTCTACTTATGAATATGAATCGATACGGAAGTAAGCCCAAGAATATTCCATCCTCAAAACACAAACTTCATGACCCGTTGCCCATGTATAGTATCGTTAAACACTTACAATTCAGCATGGCCTGAACCATGTGTTCTGACCATGACGATGAAGCTATTAGTAAATAGTAATACAAGACATAGAAGAACTCTTACTTGTAAGTGAGTCCACCTGAAGCAGACAGAATGAAGCGATGAAGGAAAGTGACCCAACGTCCGTGTCGAACTGCGTCTCGTATTTACCATAAACCTGCGTACAATGTCAATCAGGACCTGACCGTCTCTTATACAACGCTGAACCTGCTGGGGCACGCTGGAGGATGTGACTTTTCACGGCTTGGTCTGGGATAAGGAGCACGTTCCGTTGAACCCAGAAGCGAACCGTTTGAGGAAGCATATACCTAAAAATGGCCCCTTGCTGCAAGAAGATGGGTCAGAGGTGATAGACGCGTGGACAGAAATAAGTTCGGGATTTTGACATCTTTTCTCTCAGGTTTTTGCAGATGAGCGCTTTCGTAAATATAAGGGAGTGTGTGTTTCGTCATTTCTTGGAATCATCGTGTTTATGAAACGAATTTTGTCACTTGTTGTATTTGTTTTAATTTACTCAATACATGTCAAAGTGTAATATTTATCTGAGTGTATAAAGCCATGTTTCAGCCTTTTTTACATAAACCAAAACCTACCAAAAGTACATTTTGTTCTAATATACAATGCGCAGTGAGACAGTTTATGTCTTAATGAATGAAACTAGAAAATATGGGTTTGTTGTCGTAAACATGTGTAAGCATTTATTTTCACCATAGCGTGAAAATTTTGTATGAATGCGTTCATTGTTTACGATATGTTCATGACACTATAAGGATCATGTACCAACTATCGGTGAGGCACTGATTGTACGATGATTGTAAGATGAAATAAGGATTACCCTAAAATGGTAAACATTTGAGCGCCTTCTTGGTGCCGCCGTTCGTGTATTCTGAATAAATGGCAGGGACGTAGCTACCATTATAAGAAAATGCCCGGGCTTACACATGAGTTTTGCTAAATAGTTTGGACAAGCCCTCAATACTATCAAAATATAAAGCTTTGCAACCTATCGGGCTTACACGAAAAAAATGGCTTGCTACGCGCCTGAATGGAATACAAGTGAGAGGGGGGATTTAGTACCTAATCGACTTGCTGCATTTAAGTCATACCAAAACAGTAAAGGCTATGCGGAACGATAAAAAATGCGGTTCGGGGACTTGGATATTTCTAATGGGGACGTAAATTCAGACTCAATCACTAATAAAATGCCACTGGTGATGTCATGTACGAACCTCTAAACAGCGTGAAGAAAAGTTCACAAATGTATCATTCCGCGGCAAATACTCGTTAAATCAGATGTGTGAACTGGGAGTCCATGTAATTATTGATATTTTATGCCCTAATTAATCAAAATCGATTTAATAACCAATGTTACAATACAACTGATCAGAACTTCGAATACAATGGAACTATATCCTGCACGTGTCTGGTCGCGGACTATTTCTTTCGTTTGGTGCTACGGCATGAATAGACTCGTTTATCCAGTTTCGTAAACACCTGGTGTCACCGCTGATCTCGATTCGTGACTGTCGGGTCTTCGGTTTGTTGCTTCTGTTTGTTTACTCCTCTCCTTACGATACAAACGTTGTTTAATGTCAGAAAGATATGGACGGTCGGTGTTTTGGTTTTTTTAAAGACAGACAACAGGTCCCTTGTCTGTTGAATATTGTTCGTGTAGGTCAAGACATCCTTAGTCGTGTCTCGTCTGAATTGAGACACTGTTAAATATATAATTTACCTGATTCGTTTATAAGTTGTTAATTTGCTTGAATGGAGCTAGTTTGTTCTTGCAAGGACTGCCAATTAAGCCGAATGAAGTTCCCCTTTAACTCTTCAACGTCATGCATTTGTAAGATGGTTTAAGCACGAACAAAGAGAACGAGTGTCCTAGACAGTTGATGTGGCAGAATTCAGGATATCAAGATATCGCATGTTGTGTAATCAAATAGAAACATGGGGAGGGTTCAGTTGTCTCCAAAGATATTAAACATTTTTCAGCCCGCGAAGCTTTTGTTGTTTTATGGCCCCTTATTTCGTGCGTCTGCGACCCAGTTTTTAACTGCGGGGTTCTTGGAAAGACTATATACATCCCCAGCAACATGTTTATTGTAAGAGGCGATCACGTGAACCCGGTCGGGGACGGTGACTTGGTTGATAGCTAGCTCCTGAAGACCCGGATTCGATTCCCACATGAGTTGAGTTGGGCTTTACGTCACATCGGCATTATTTCTAGGAAAGTGGGCAGTGACACGTCGGTATCAAATTGAACAGCGTATCAATACGGTTGCCGCAGTTACGTTGTCAGCATGTCATTGTATCCCGTCTGTCTGTACAGATGCTCATGACATCAACCCCTGGATTGTCAGATACAAACTTATAATTTACAGGAGGTAAATATATAGCTGGAATATTAGTGAGTGGGGAATTAAATAACAAACAAACAAAACACTATTTTATTGGAACATTATCTTTAACAAATATTCAACCGATACAATACATGGACGATGCTACACTGTAATTTCTCCCTAACAGGGCCCCCTGGGCGTGTTTCGTCAGGATCTTCTGTGATGTTACGACTGGAAAGCAGCCTCGGGGCTTTGTTTTAATGGCGTAGCAAACAAAAAGCCATTTGTGGCCTCTCAAACACTCAGTGTTGCGATGGGGTTGACTGACAGATTAGTTAGCACAGAATATATTACTCGAACCAGAGACCATATAATATGGTCTCTGCTCGAACTCAAACATATCGATGCAGCCATGTCCTCATATCTTAGTGAACACCGGGTGGTCGGTGGATAGAATAGCCTCGCCTTGATCACTTCTTTGAGATGCATTTGGAGGTTCGAAGCAGTAAGGAAGGGTAACAATATATAGATGAACAACTTCTGGCTCTCGTTGTAATAAAGAAATTGTTCATCCATATCTTGTTATCCTTCCGCAACCTCTAACTACATCTCCAAGTAGTGATGGTGGTGAGAATATCCCACTGTCATTTTGGAACAGACGACAGTAAGTCGTAGATGGTGCTGGTTGTTGGAATAGTGTAAGGCAGGGTTACAAGAACTCACATCTTATGGGTCATCGCTGTGTCGTTGTATCCCCTACACCGCGTAGAATCACCACAGTATATCATACGCTCACTGTACCATTGACAGTAAGCATAATCCCTGTAGGGGAGACCGGGGTCAATTGTAACACTTTTACTTAACTTCTTGTAATTCGATACTAGTCGACCGCTCACCAAGTCAATCGGTACTATCTAGTATATTGGCTTCTTGGCTTTATACCTCAGTGTCATTTAAAGTTCACTATCATGTCGTTACAAAGTTGTTATGTATCAAATGCAATGACTGCAAGTCATGATCACGGGGTAATTGTAACAGGCGGATGGGGCAATTGTAACAAAGAAGGTTCAAATGTAACAATATGTTTATTTTCCAAATAAAATCAAAATAAAATGTGGAAATATTATCTTGATCAATTGAGGTGGAAATGGATTAACATTAAACCCGTGTCACCATCGACATCAAAAATGTTTTGGTAAAATTCTTCTTTCGGTATGCCCAAATATAATACAAAGACTAACACCAAAACATTTCACCCGAGGGCTAATACTATCAACATAACACTGAAAATGTTCTATGATAAAACTAGTAGAGAACTAACATAAAACCTTCCTCATAATTTGCTTCATCATCATAACAAGGGAAAATTACATGGCGCAATTGTAATACAGCGTTACAATTGCCCCCGATGGAAGTAGCCATGTTTCATGCAAAGTCGCATGTTAACCACCTAGGGTTTCTCAAATATTTCTACTTCAAAATATGTCGTAATACCTCAACTTTACACTTGAAAAGTTAATCTCATAACAAGCAACATTTACTGCACTAAGAACGGTTTATTACGTTTTGTGAAAAATTTACTTACTTATGTGAAAAACGATTTTTTCGTCAACTGTATCTCGCCATGAGCGAGCAGCTGAAAAACGCCTGGGCCCCGTTTCACGATGATCTCGTAAGCCTAAGATCTCGTAACTTTCCTCGTAGCATTCGTACGTCCTATACTGTAACATAGGAGGTACGACGCTACGAGAAAAGTTACGAGGTCTTAGGCTTACGAGAGCCTCGTGAAACGGGGCCCTGGATGTGTACGGCAGGAAAGCAAAGGGAAATAACTCTACTCACCTACACTATGCTGGACCTAAAACTTTTAGAGTAATCGCCCTTGTTACCTACACCGAAACGTCGCACTCATTGCAATAAAGAAGTTGACTATCCATAGAACTTTTGTTTTCCTTCATGACTAAAGTATATAGAATACTTATGAAAGAATCGGTTTGCCCTTAACTTATTTTAAGCAGTATGGATCTTTCACAATAAACTAAGAAACCCAGCTGGTCAGGTCATATCTTCGATTTTCCCACACGTGTTATGATATTTTAAATGTATATACCGGTATTTATGAATAGTTAACCTTCCTAGTGTAATGCAGTTTGTCAACAGGATATTCAGATATACACAATCACACTGTCTTGTCAGTAAAGGTCCTGTGAGAGGTACTTCGTCATCATCGTGGTCGAGGTTGAATCTTTCCCGTGTATAAAAATCCATTATTTACTAACAACAACAACCATTATCTGTAGAGTTTGTCATGAGGTGAGGTGAGTCGGGTTCAACACTGAACTCATATAGTGACTTGTACTTCAAATATTTATAACACAAACTACGATATACATTCTGTGTAAATATTTAAGACGGGTCAGACCGTTGTAGCCTCTCATTCTTGTCTCAACCGATAAGATACCGATAAACAGGCTGCAACTGGCAATGGCATAATATTACCCATAATGAAGCGGATATCATGTGAAATTCCCCGTTATTCGTTGGTTATTTTCTAAATATTTATGGCCGCCGGGGAAACAACAAATAAGGTGTCCTTCTCGTCATGAATATACACTAGGTGCTTAATCTTAAATATATTCAGTTCTAAAATGTTGCTGTAACATTGGGGTGTGTGGGTTGGGGGTCGGGGGTAGTTCATTTTCACCCGTATTCACGAGAGTTTCAACGGTCATTTAATAAACTTTCCGGACAAAGGTGGGAGTGCGCACTCCTGCAAACACGTGATATATTTCAGACTCCATGTTTAAAGATGCAGCAGATCATGGTTGAAATTAATCGCTGTCTGACCTCTTTGTCTTAATCAATTAGATTATACAGGATTCAGTCACACTTGGCTTTCAGAGCTACGCTTCACGTTCCAGTTTCTCATACCTTTCTTGGTAATGATCGGAAGCAGCATTGCAAACTCCCGCCTGCCCGACCGCCCGGGACGGACTGTTTTGCGACCGGGCGGTCAGTTTTAAAAAGTTGCACGCCCGATGGTCTGGCTGTTAAATCAGTGTAAGTTTGTAATGTATATAATGAATAAAGCCTTGACTGAAAAACATTTGAAAACGTGTGTTATTGTGACAATAACCTGACATTAAACAGTTCCTTCCTCTTATTAACGTAACTTTCTTTTTATTTTTCTTAATCCAGAAAATTCTGGACTGGCAACTTTCAAGCCAGTCTGGTAACTTTCGAGAGTTACCAGACCAGTTGTCTGGCTGAAATTTTGGGGAGTTTACAACAGTGTCGGAAGTCATGGGGTACGGAAATTACCAGTTCTTCGACTCATGCAAGTGGAACGTACGTACCCGGATCTTCTGTGTGTGACCAGAAATGGAGTTCCGAACTACAAAGAATAACGGACATTACAAAGCTGCGAGGGTGGGTTGACAATTACTTGATTACAGTTTCTCGAAGATATCTGGATAATTTCCAGAAGTCATGGCTTACCTACAAATATAACATTCTGCTAAGGGAATTGCGTATCGCTTATTAAAAATATATGTAAACTAGAACAATTTTCTGTGCTTGAATTAAGGGTTAATCATTTGTTTAAAAACGAAATCAGTGATATATAACACAAAATAGAAATGAAGATCCGTGAAGATCTGGGTTAGAATTGGTCTTTAGGGACCGCTCATAATTTTATTTTATTTTATTTTTATTTATTTTTATTTATTTATTTTTTTTTGGGGTGTGTGTTGATGATGATGATTTTTATGGAGAAGCATGTACAATGTGAATGACCCCTGAAATTTATGTAAAGAATAAGTGACCCCCTGCATGTCATGTACAAAATCAGTGACCCCCCTCCCCCATTCCCATAATTTCTAAGCATAATTTTAAACATATTTTTATGTACATAATCGCAGACCCCCCTAGTAAGTGTGTACAAAATTGCTGACCCCAGCTCCCTAGAACAAAATGGTGATCCCCCTTAAAATCATCATCACCCCCCTAGCCATAAATTATGAACGATCCCTTAGCAACCCATGCTTGTCGTAAGAGGCAGCTAACGGGATCGGGTGGTCAGGCTCGCGGACATGGTTCACACATGTTTTCGTAACAAAATTGCGTAGATCGATGCTCACGCAGTTGATCACTGGATTGTCTAGTCCAGACTCGATTATTTACATACCACCGCCATGAAGCTGGAATACTGCTGAGCGAAGCGTTACTTGAACAACAAACCAACCAACAAAATAGCTATTTCTTTAGAGATTCCTACGCTGAGTAAAGACTTCCATGGCAAGGTTAAATCAAAACATATGAACAAAAACATTAGGCAACTTGAAATTTAAAAAAAATGATTTATCTTTTTTAGCATTTTACTACTGATGCTGTTCGTTGTGAGTATATAAGACATGACTGTCAGAGATGTTTTGTCACTATCACTGCAGGATGTTAATTCAAAACACGAAAATATTAAATGTATTGTAATGCCACGGACCAGTAAGGACTAAATACACATTGACACCCGATACACAGTGAAGGGGGGACTAGAACTATTTAATGATATATCGTTTCATCCACCATGCTCTCGCAACCCGTCTGCACCCTGACAAATGGGAATGGAGTGGACCAGCATGTGTTTCTGAAATAGAACATTTATAGAGTGACCATTGTTGACATCACAGTAGCCGAGAGCCGCGATGCGGTCCTATACAGTGATAGGACCGCATCGCCGCTCTCGGCTAATATTATTCATGAGCATAACATACAGGACTTCATTTAAATTGATATGGTTTTACAATTAAACTGTTGCAATAGCATTTTCAATACAAAAAGAGCAAAAGATATGAGGGCTCGTCCGGGATTCGAACCCGGGACCTCTCGCACCCAAAGCGAGAATCATACCCCTAGACCAACGAGCCGCTCTTATCATCTCACTGAACACAAAGGTATTTATATACCAGCATTACGTCCACTTCCTTCCCACGTAAAAGAAAATCTATAAATAGTCTTAGAGCAGTATTTAGTCTTAAATGTTTGTTATGGAATTCATATACCAAAGAAAAGAAATTTCTGTCTCTTAGATCTCTTGAATATTCACAACACAATCATTTTCATGCTTGCATTGGGCTAAGGCAACATTATACATTTCAGCAAACGCCATCAATATCATATGACAAGTGCGCTGATCGCAAACTGGAAACTTTTGGTTCTATGCGCCAAATATTTTGCGCGTTTCAAAGACGGGATCCTAGTTAAGTGTTTGTTGCTAGGGCACGGAGTATTATCCGCGCAGTAATACATAAGTGTTCAAAATGGTATTATTGCATTAGCATTTACGTTTTATTGACTTTTAACTTCCTTGGGTAGATATCTGTTTACGAAGTGATCACATTTGTAATAAACATATCTACGTGTGGGGAACTATGTTACAGTCGGAGGCATATGAAGAGTGAAAAGCATGTTGTTAGGTTACTTCCGCTGTCAATGTAAACCACCACAGAATTTTTCCAAGCGAAAGCTTTCTGCAACACGTAAACGGCAAAGATGGCCACCCAGACGTGGGATATACCAGATTTTGGTGTCGAAAGAAAAGGATCCTTATTCCTACGCTCAAATGATATGAATTATGGGAGGGCCACTCTCACTTCAAACTGGTAAGACATTGACAGGTTGGGGTATCCCATGTGTGTTGTTTATATTCATTATGCTTGGGAATTTGTTGTAAAGTGCTTCAGGTAAAGTGACAGTCATAGCATTTTCGACAAAAATAGCTAAACATCACGTTGTTTGACGGATATCCTGGGTGTAAATCAAAGTGTTAATCAAAATACATAGAAACAGTGTTTCATTTTCAGACTACTACAACTGACAATAGACTATGGTGTATAAATCACAAAACTTTAACTACAAGGGGTCCACTGCATGTATTTACAGTTAGTCTAACTGAGTAAAAGAACGAGTGAATTTATACAGCAAAGAGACAATACGTATCACAATACATACGTCACCATGATACGTATTTTGACACATATATTTACTTCAGATTGTGGAAAAGCTAGCAGTTGAAACATGTTTGGAACAGCTGTGTTTAGCTATCAACTTGAAACCCTAACATTACAACATACCATATTTCCTCTAATAAGCGCCCAGGCTCTTATTTTTTTCAACAGAGTTCCAGACACGGCGCTTAGGGCTTACTGAGTCTAATTGCCATAATTGTTAGGGAGCTGCTTTACCCCTGGCGCTTATTAGAGACCCAGCACTTATTAGAGGAAATACAGTAGTTTTTAATATGTGACAGACAACAGCAGTGAATATATTTTAGCAAATGTATCATCCTAAATTGTTTATTTTAGCAAATGTAACACCCTAAATCAATTCATAAAATAACAATGATGTATCACTTACCTTTGGTAAATAGGTATGTAATAGGTTTTGTTTTCAATCAGATTTTCACTGATGCTAATAGTCATCATGTTTGAAATCTTAGTGATATATTTTGGAAAACATAATAATTGGTTTATACTCTTTCTGTTGACAGGCATCAAGCCAGGGAAGCTGGAGCCCAAAGACTATGACATCAGCAAAAGTCCAGAGAGAGATCTGTGTAAAGACACGTACAGGAGGATTGGAGACGTAACAGATGGGGTAAGTAATTAAACCAGTGACATCTCTTCATCATAGCCATAGTGGGTCCCCATTATTAGATATACACTCAAATCTTTCAAAAATGTCAAAATGGGAAGCACATATTTTCAATTTTTATGTTTCATTTTTGGTTTTAAAAACCACAATGTTCAAAGCATCTGTGTACATCACCTGTTAACTAAAAAGAAACTTACATAATGTGTGAATGTTTGGAAGGACTGCATTTATCGTGTAGCAATATTTCATTAAGTGAGTGAGTGAGTGAGTTTTGTTTTACGCCGCACTCAGCAATATTCCAACTGTATGGCGGCGGTCTGTAAATAATTGAGTCTTGACCAGACAATCCAGTGATCAATTTCTATGCTTGATTTTTCAGTCCCTACCTATGACAACCTACCAGGACCATGCCCAACAGATTAATCTCAGGAAGAACTTTGAGGAGAGGGAAACCCGCAAACCAATGATAACGATGGAGACACTAGAACACGCTCACATTGACAGGTGATTAGATGACGAAGGGGGAAAGCCTCAAGTGGTGCCAGTCGTAGACATTTACCATGTAGGATTGAAGCTGTATAAGATGGGTATATGTGAAAATAGAAAGGAGATATTCTGTGTGGTGTTGTGTGTAGTCCTGTGCATAGAGCTTGGGTCACAAATCAGTTGAAGTTAAGCAGCGTTGTGACTGTGTTTGGCAGCTTGACTCCTGAGTTTCCACGACTTCAGTCCTGCCCCACAACAAAGCACATGCGATACATATGGTCTCACCTTAGGCAAGTGGGTTTGTTCAAAATTGCCTCTGTTCACCCAGCAGAAAATGGGAATCCGGTGGGATAAGTCATGTGACTATTAACCTTCTAGCGCCTAACAGGCAGCTTGTGTTATCCGAGGTAATAATAATCAGATTATATTTGTGCGCTTTGAGCAGGATATGAAGCCTGGAAAGGAGCGTTATAAATATTCTACATTCTACATTATATGATACACCAGTTAACTGAGGATAGGATTTTTCCTGATTGTGATCTTTGGTTTCAACATCATGCCTTTACTCTGGTTTTTAACAAGACTGGTAAATGTCCAAGACCTTCATCACTTCACGTTATCTTCCCACATTAACCCGACATGAAGTAACTGAAATACTTTTCAAACTGGCAGTATTTTCTCTTCAGTCACCTTACTGATGAACAAACACTTCTCAATAACCATCAGAAAATCATTTCTGGATGTTCATTTGTTCTGTCTCTAGGGACACTGGTGCACCAAAAGAAGGTTTTGGTTCAGTTCTGCCACTTCACGACCCAGATCACAACAAGATGTACATGGAAACCACACACAAGGCAGATTTCGGAGCACCATATCCTTATGAACCAGCACCGGTATGTAGTGAATAAAATATTCACAGTATTACAGATACTTGTATTGTTTCTATTCATATATATGATCTACTGATTGTCGTAACACTAATAACTCCTTCAGAAATAATCCCAGGATCTGTGAAGACACAATTTGGTTGGATCCAAATTAAGCATCATGCTCAAATTTTCCCCATTAAAATGACTGATTTATTACAAAAAGTTTATCTTTTTAAAATTTAATATCGAGAAAATCAAATCTTCTGAACATATTTTCAGTTGAAAAACTACTATTCATGGCCTTTAATGATAAAAATGTTTCCATAATGTAATTAATTTAAAGTTCTTTTGTTATAGTATCAAAATAAAGTATAATATTACAGCCCTAGTTATGACTCTCATAACTGTAGTGCTTAGATCAATTTTGGAATAAGACACTGAACACCTTAAGGGAAGTCATACCATGTTGAAACCAATGATTATTGATAGGAATTCCTTTCATCAAAATATGCATTCCCTATTATGTTCTTGACTTAATCACCTTAATTTATTTGAACAGGAAAGGCCTCCAGATTTTGAAGATCTCTCTCCAGCATACAGAAAATGCAACTCCCAGTTTACAGACGGGGCTGACTACAGGCGTCTTGGACGCAACACGTGGCAAGACGAGAGTGGAATCTACAGCAACACCCACTTCAAGAGACAAGTGTACAAACCTACTAACACCATCCCAAGTACAGTAAAGTTGGAGTAGTGGTAGCATCACGCATGTTTGCTAATGTATATTTGAAACATATTTACACAAAACATCTTGTTTGTCTAAGTCAACACAGTAACTCTATATCATGTTGATATACCCTCCTTTCCAAGGGGTTGTATTCAAGTATTTGTTGATATTACATAGGTGTATTTAGGTCATCTGGTGTAAGTTTGCATGGGATAAATATGTTATAGTCATGAAATGACTGGAAGAACTGTAGAAGCAAAACTCTTGCATATTTAGAGATGAATCACTGAATCTGCGTGACTTTTTAGAAATTTCTAACACCATAGTTATGGTCAATGGTATTTGAATACTTTTGACATTGTTTTATTAAACCTATTGGTATTAGCTGGACTCTTGATGGCAAATCAAATTTGTTTTTAACTTTACCATGTGTTGCAGATATGAAGATGTTTGTTGAGGATTGTATATAAATAAATGCAAAATTCTACCATAATTTTTGTAGTTTTTGATAATACTTTGTTTTGTCCATGATTGAGTGACCAGTATTTGTTTTCGTTAGCAAGGTTTGAGATAATTTTAAACCACAAAGATGAACTGGGCAAGTGTGTGTGGTTTAGCTTCAAACAATATTTCTTTTGTATCAGGTAACCTGTGATGTTATTGAGGGATGACAGACAGCAAAAGGCAATGTTGGTTGTAGACGTTTATCACTCTGATGAAACCCACAAGCAGTGGTCTGTAGAAGGGGGTTGGCTTATCTACAGCTTACACTTTCGTCAAACTTTTTTTTCTGGTGGTAAGAAAATGACATCGTATCATTTTGAGTAAAATTACGAGATAGTGTAACAACGGGAATAACGTCAATAAGAATTTGTTGACACTCTATATATCTAATGACTGATCATGACGAAAAGATGAGCGAAAATGGCTGGTTCAGCTTATCTATTGACCATACCATTTTGACACTGATTTTAAGGGTCAAGTTAGGACCTCAGCTTATCTGTGAGATCATCTTATCTATGGTAATATCCAGTAAGGTGTCTCCTACCCACAGTGTACCCACAAGTTGATTGTGTTATAATATGGTCAACCAAGACAGCATTTTGTTATCACACATACATTCACTGTACTTATCTGGCGTCTCTTCTGTCAAATCTTTCAGCTTCCTTGTCATCCCACCTTGTGTAAACATTTTAGCTTCTATATACATATAGACTAAATACACTTACTCAGCATTCATCTTTTGTTGTTGCAAAAAGTGGTCCTGAAATTTTGCACAATGAATGAATAACTGTTGCTATTCTCAGCAATTGTTTGATGAACATTTTTGAAGTTGGTGTGTAAATAATGAAGCATACCGCTTTAAATATAAAGCATTATAATAGTGTATTAATCTACGTCAAAACATCAGTTACTCATGATGACACTGTTGCTTTAATTAACTGATTGAAGTTCCATTTAAAGGAGAATACGAGTGAATTGCAATAATTTGCTGGGTGAAAGATAAAGTCATCAGAAACATATTCCCAAATTTTCAATTAAATATTATGTATAATTATGTTTTAATCGCGAAAACAGTTTCTGTAAATCTCAGCTTCAGCCATTATGCATATTTCGCTGGAACCCACGTGACGTCAAATGTGCCTGGAGTCCGCCATATTGCCAAAGACCAAGTGCTACAGTAGTACAAATCGTGTTGTTTCTGTCGTTTTTTTAAATGGTACGATGGTGTATTGCGTTGCCTGGGGATGCACGGAATCATCGAACATGGGAAAGAACCACCATATCTTCCGTTTTCCAAGTGAAATGACAGATTTCAGGAGAAATGCGCCGATCATTCCGAGTCTGACGCATATGAAAGAGACATGCATGCATGGGGTATGGAAATCCCCAAGCTAGGCTGCAGATAGCCGAGAGCCGGTGATGCGGTCCTATACAGTCAAGACATGACCCTGCATCGCGATGCAGAGTCATGTCTTGAATGTATGGGACCGCATCGCGGCTCTCGGCTAGGCTGAAGAAGGAAAAAGTACCCACGAGATTCATTTATACTCCAACATTCCCTGTAACAACTTACTGTCAGTGGTATTTTGAACATAAATTAAATCAAGTCCGATTGCCTGTCGAGTTGCCCCCGCTACAAAATGACCCAGCAAATTTGGTCAAATTGCCCCAGTGGGGTAGTCAGAATGCCCCAATTTATTTAAAATGAATAAATATAGGCCATAAATGCATAGTTTTGTCAACTTTGAAATTATGTTCTTCATATATAAGTATATACATAGTTATGAGTTTACTAATGAAACATTTATCAGAAATATTACTTCCTAATAACTTTTATATGAAGAACATAATATTATAATAAGTTGACAAAAACTATGCATTTACGGCATATATTCAATCATTATAAATAAATTTGAACAAATTAGAATGAATGACCAAATTTGCTGGGGCATTTTGTAGCTGGGGCAGTTCGACTGGTATATATTATCAAAATCAGTAAGAGATTTCACATGAACTTGAAAATGTTTCGCTACAACGTTCTTTTCGGTTTGGAGCCCTAAATGATGCAGTCAACTCGAAACATTGCCGAATACAACGGCAAATCATGAAGTACTTGTTGCTTTCATTGTTTTCCATTTTGTCCAATTACGCCCGTCGTCATCAGACTCGCTATTTGTCAGTAGTGTGTGCCGTGAAAGTTGTTCTGTATTCTCATTGGCTGACAGGATGTCATTCTAAGGCTTTGACCGAGTACCATAACTATTTCCATAACCAAACAATGGGGAAACATACGTGGTCCTTACTAAAGTACTGTCGGAAATGCTAGAAAAATGCTTTTTAGCCTTAATATTTTGATAAAGGTGATATATGTACTATGTTGTCAATATATCAACTCGCCTATAGTGTACCTAATTTTTATTTCAATTGATTTAACATTCCCATGCATTTAAAGGGCAGTTTACAGGAGAGAATATGGTACCAAAAAAACAACTTAGGATTTTTTCAGAGTTCAACAACAGAAATCTGAACTAGTCTTTACATTTATGCTAATAATACAGGTGGTGTAAAAATATGAATCAACGTTTTTCTTTAACAAATAGATGTTGAATGTTTGTGTTACTTTACTTAATTATCGTTTCTTTATTGAAGAAATATTAATATAAATGTTAAGTCTTGATAAATAAGTTTCCCGTCATGCATGCACATCTTTATCACAGCGTCCACTAAGGCCAACTATTTGCAGTCAATTGTTGCAAAGGTTTATAAGTTTTTTGTGCTTGAAAAAGACAGAGGTAAACCTTTCATTAGTTTAGAAAGGGTTTATTACAGAACTTGTAGAGCTGTTGGTATGTCTTACCAACAAGTTTAAAATATTGTAAACAAATCAGACAAGACAGGGACCGTCTCAAAAGCAAAACCGGGACGTAAAACCATCCTTGACAACTTTGACAAGGGAGTGATTAGACGGGCGGTCTACAAACTTTATGAGAAGAAGAATATATATATTCTAAAGAAGCTACACCAGTGACTTCGTTAAATCTTTGGCCAATGTTCACAACTAGATTACACTGACCGAATTACATCCATATTTTTGCAATGAAATATACTGTTGACATGCAAAACATTTATTAAAACGTTGCACATTTCTACAATCAATCGATAAGATAACACAAGTGATAGGATTCTTTCCAATGTACAGTAATTCGTATGTTTATTTCAAAACAAACACACATACACAAATGATCCCTTACATAACCAATACGTATACTATACGTTCCCATATTCAACATTTTGAAAAAAACATCTATTTAGATGACCCCTCCCCCGAGCGTGTGCTCAGGTGTCAATTTCACCTGTCGATACCGTGCATGCTGATGACGTAACACAGGCAGTTAATGTTTGTATCAAATAACGTCCCACTACCCCTTATTTTTCTAAGTTTTTGTATTTTCATCAGTAAAAACACATTTTAGGGCATGTCTCAAAATTTATTCCCTCGGTCTACATTAGGTAGATGTTTCTTGAAGTGATATTTGTTATTTAAGTAACTGTAATACCTCTGAATTTTAAATATAAGTCCAAAAGCATTTTTCTAGCATTTCCGACAGTACTTTAGTATATTTTATAATTCACCAGTTTTCGAGGAATAACTTATCTGCGTCGCGAATATTATCTCTGCTCGACCAGGCTGGGATCTTGTATCGAGACTTGACACGTTATTAATGAGATCTAGGATCCTAATTCTTTTCAACAAAATAATTCCAGTGTAATTTTTGAAGCAGATAATTTTTATTTTCTCTCGTCTGAAGCATAATTATTTTGTTTTTAAATCCCAGACACCCTACAGTCACCCATTTGACACAAAATGAACTGTAATCACATTTAAAAAAAAAAATTCTTAGTGACTGGTCATATATTTATAGGGGTGAGTTTGCTGGCTGGAACTGTATGACATTTTGCTGACAAACAGTAATCTTGTTAAATGATATGGTCTATTTTTAAATTTATTTTGACCTCAAGCGGTGCCTCCGTTTCGCTTGATTCTTCTTCATCTTCAGTGGAAGATTGTCCTGCAAGATGTAAAATCGGATCGTACTGATACGGTCTAACATCCATTTCAGAAATGACATCAGGAACATCTTTTACTGCTTCAGCATCCACGGACACTGTTAAGTTGTGAGTTAACATCAAAGAGGAAGCCAACAGCAACAGGCACTTATGACGTCAAGTCACGTGATACCCCTCTGCTCAATAACTGTCGGGTGTTTCCGTAATAGGCGGAAATACGAGTACGTTTTTGTGTTTTTATTGCTAGTTTACAAACTTTTTGTTCAATTTTAATCACGGAATGTGAATTTTAGAATATCCTTTACAATGTATCAAAAGCTTTGTTTTCGTTCGTATTCTCCTTTAACGGCACAGGCTAAGGCTATGCTGTAAGCACTACAACTTTTTAACGTTCCAAGGAGAGCATATTTATAATACTTTCAGATAGTTTGTCCTGCTTGCAGGCTATTAACTATGGTAAAACTAAATCATCCCTTTTCAATTGAAATTTTGAAATGTCATTTCAGATAGTCTGTGGCTAACAGTGACATGCTGTTTTGTTGACAACCAAGTCATGTTGGCATTAGTGGAAATTCTAATAGCTAAATCTGCTCTTGAAAGGTTGATGTCAAGCAGTACTTTTCCATACACTGACCTTGGCAGTATGTTAAAAATATATGGCAAAGTTAAATGAACCAATATCTTATAGGCTTCATGTCATACAACCCCAGATAGCCTATCATGCCCTTTCTGGTTTAAATCATCAAGATGAAGTGGTGATCTGAAGGTGTCATGTTGGACTCTCCTCATACTCATTTCTATCAAAGGGAGAGTATCCCCCTCAATAATTCCATGTCACAGTCCTGTGACCATCAAGCACCTTCTGTTGGATTGTGTTGATTTTTTGCTTATTTGCCAACGATTTTATACTGTTCAAACTATTTCTGTACTTCTCCATACCATTTCTAATCTTTTAATATTAGCATATTTGAAGGACATTTAACTATATAAGATGTAGCTTGAATGTCAGTTTTTACAGTTTACTGTGACAACGATGTGAAGTTTTAGTAATCGTATCAAGAAATCTTGCTGTGGCATTACAATTTTAGCAATGCAGTATGATCAGTAACATATTAAACTTATTTTCAGCTCTTTCCACAACACTAGATTCATACATCCACAAACAACAAATACACATACTTTTTTCTGAAATTTTATTTCTGTTTTGACATCTTAGTACATTCAGTTAGTTACATGCATTGTATGTGCAGCAGGTAAGTAAAATCACAGAATGTTGGCCCGTTGAAATGTATAAAAGTATCAAAACATGTAATAGAAATAAGCACACCCAGAAAATGTAGCACCAGAATTTTGAGGATTACTAACTAAATGTACCAAAACATGAAAACAGGGGGATTACCTGTGGCATCAATTGGACACAGTTAATGTGTGCAGAATCAGCTAAAACAAATTTATATTTAAAAATTCATCTCCAGTCTGCATTTAGAGTACATGTATTCATAAAATTGACAAATTTAAAATATATGGAGATGAACAAGACTGTGCATCCATTTGATGCCAACAGGGGGTGACTATATACATGAATATCTGACATGTTAAAGATAGTTCAACAATACAAGTTCCATTAATTACTGGCCTCTTGCATGCTGCAGTACAAAAGGTGAATTCATAAATAAAAAAGTGTGGATTTCTTTTGTTTTTGTACAAATTGACATAAATGCACACACATGACTAAAACAACAGTAAAATGGTGTCTAGAAACCTGCTTGCTCAGCACATTAACACTGAGCTAATTGTAATTTTTCAATTCTCAGTATACAGAAATCTTAATGTTCTCGTATGACTTCTTTTGTTGGAAGCGTTATATATTAGGAGTAAAAATTGTATTATGAGAGCCTTTGGTGAATCAAGTAATTTTTAAAACTTAAAATAATAAATCATAAGACATTATTTCAGTCAGAAAAACACAACTTTGGAAAGAGTGTATAAATACAATGTTAGAGTGATATGCCTCAATTGCACAGTGCCAAATGGGTATTCTGTGTACAGAAACACTCACACAGGGCAACAGTTTATTGATTAAGTTGACATCAATGCCTGGAGCTTATCAAAAGTAGTTCAATTTGCATAATTATTTCATCATGATTCCATCAATAAAACTATTATATGACATTTGAATGTATGCCAACATAAATTCACTTGCTGAAATAAAAGCATTAAAAGCCTTTAGAAAAGAAATAATGAAAAAATGTTTATTGTAAATTTGTTAAAAAGTGCCTAAGAACAAGTTAGTTAAAACAGCAAAACTTAATCCCAGCATATCAGGACATATGCTGTAAATATATCCATCATACATCAATAATACTGATACATTCCTGAAACAAATATTATATTATTTAAATGCCAAATACTTATTTGATGGGCACTTTTGAAGTTCAGGTGATAAAAGAAGTTGTATATCCATAAAAATTGTCATCATTCGCCAAATACTTTAACAAAGTGGAATATTTAATTTAAACTGAATTGTCAATACCACAAAATATACATGAACAGTAGGATATATCCTGATATGCTTAAAGAAATATCTACAAGATGTCAGATACTGAACACTATAACTACATAAATATTTTGATGTGGGAAATGACTTAGATAAAACTCCCTGAATAAAAGGTGTACCTCCTTTAAAACAGAAACACCCAAATTGATAATTTGAAATCTTCATTTGTGGGACGAATCACAGCACTGATGTAAATTTTGTTGTGACATGAACCAGTCACATATCTCTCCTACATCAAAATATTGATTAGGGTGGGGAGGGAGGAAGGTAGGGATCAAATCATCAGGGCATTTTCAGGTTGCCATGGTTACAATTCAAATTCCAATTTTTCGTGGCATTATTGTTTACAACACTGCATGTAAGTTTTGGTCCACTGATCAGTTTCTGAGACCTCAGTTCGCTCAGTTGCCACCTGATACATGTATACTGACCACCAAAAGAAACTGTACATATGATTTTATCATATTCAGAGTTTCATTTAATGCTTATATATGTTGATAAACATACAAAATATGAGTATGATGCTTAGGTATTAAATGTCAGTAAGAAAATAGGAAGATAATATGTTTCATATATTTCCCCTTGATAGCCAGCGAAGTGATTTCGGCTGAATTCCTCACAGTAAAATTTGTTTGAATAATTAAAAATAACATTTTCTCCTCCTATTTATTCATCAACATTTAATCAAATGTCACTGAAATTGATCCTTGTTAAAATATATCAGACCAACCAGTTGTTTGCACAAATGCAAATCTGCATCATATCAAAACATGTAATACAACACAACACTAAGTTCCAGCAATGCTTTCTTAATGTTACAGTCTGATTTGGTTCATGCTCTTGTGTACCCCATAATGCTTGTTAGGTTTCAGTAATATCATAGTTGAGGGACATTTGCCCCTGCATTGGGCATGAACAAATCACTGCTTCAACAAAACATTGAAAACACATGAAAACAATCTACATAGACAAACAGAAATATTGGCACATGATGACACCCACTGTGTTGCACAATCATCAGGAGATTAAACATCTTAATTTTTATATGTATGTAACCATGGCAACTGATATATTATGCTGAGCTTTAGTTGACTGGGCAGGAATCCATCTTGACACTGCCGATGGCACTTCCAGAGCCAATGTATTGCATCTTCCCATCAAGCTGCACGTTGCGTATACAACCCACAAAGCTGGTCTTGGCATCAACACCCTTGGCAGTGTAGTCTGAGGAAACAAACATGGATGCAATAAGGTTTCTGTTTCGCATTTGAGTTTTTCTACCACCAACATAATTATACACACCCCAAAGAATTTTTACAATTACTAAAAACAGTCAAAGTCACCATTACCTTGCAAACAATAGAAAAAAAATAGCATTAAAGTAATGTTTTGCTTATTTTCTTATATGTATTAGATTTCACATGAACCATACAAAGGGAGGTAACTTTTCTGACCTGGTGCACCACCAATGAAGAGTGGATCATTAGTGTCAGCTGCAGATACTCCTGGTTTGCCCTGTCCAATGGGGGCAGTGACACCATCAACCTCCAGCTTCACTATCTCTTTGGCCTTTATAGCTGAAGCACAAATAACACAGTCTCATTCACATGCAGGGAATTGTGTAGTTGGGATTTTATGCAACTTCAAGTCTCCTGAACACAAAACCTAATGAGCAAACTTGTTGCCTACATGCAAGTCTTATCAATTAAATTTCAATATTATGAGCGAGTGACACAGTGAATTTAGGTGACAGTGACATGTGTCAACCTTCAATATTATGAGAAACAATTACCAAACCAATATTTTAGGGTCAAAATTACTGTTGACATACAATGGTTAGAGGTGGATGTCTGGAAGCATTGTCTTACCTTTGATTACGTGCCACTGGCCATCACAGAGAGAGGTGGACATGGAAGGTGTGAAAGTAGCTGTGATGGCCCCCATGCCATTGTCTGCTCTCAGGATGATCTGAAAACATACACAGACGATCAATGCAAAACACTGTGGAACTGTTGAACATACATGGGTTACAAACCAGGTTATCTGAAGGTCCCCCTTATGAAGATTCCATATAATGATAAGCCAGCTAATTTGAAGGTCCCCCTTATGGAGGTCCCATATTATGACAAGCCAGCTAATTGGAAGGTCCCCCTTATGAAGGTCCCATATCATGACAAGCCAGCTAATTAGAAGGTCCCCCTTATGGAGGTCCCATTGACAAGCCAGTTAATTGGAAGGTCCCCCTTATGGAGGTCCCATATTATGACAAGCCAGCTAATTGGAAGGTCCCCTTTATGGAGGTCCCATATCATGACAAGCCAGCTAATTGGAAGGTCCCCTTTATGGAGGTCCCATATCATGACAAGCCAGCTAATTGGAAGGTCCCCCTTATGAAGGTTCAATATCATGACAAGCCAGTTAACTGGAAGGTCACCGTTAAGAAGGTTCCATATCATGACAAGCCAGTTAATTGGAAGGTCCCCTTTATGAAGGTTCTATATCATGACAAGCCAGTTAATTGGAAGGTCCCCCTTATGAAGGTTCCATATCATCACAAGCCAGTTAATTGGACGGTCCCCCTTATGAATGTTCCATATCATCACAAGCCAGTTAATTGGAAGGTCACCGTTAAGAAGGTTCCATATCATGACGAGCCAGTTAATTGGAAGGTCCCCTTTATGAAGGGTCCATATTATGACAAGACAGTTACTTGGAAGGTCCCCCTTTCATATCATGACAAGCCAGTTAATTGGAAGGTCCCCCTTATGAAGGTTCCATATCATCACAAGCCAGTTAATTGGAAGGTCCCCTTTATGAAGGGTCCATATTATGACAAGACAGTTACTTAGAAGGTCCCCCTTTCATATCATGACAAGCCAGTTAATTGGAAGGTCCCCCTTTCATATCATGACAAGCCAGTTAATTGGAAGGTCACCGTTAAGAATGTTCCATATTATGACAAGCCAGCTAATTGGAAGGTCACCCTTATGGAGGTCCCATATTATGACAAGCCAGCTGATTGGAAGGTCACCCTTATGAAGGTCCCATATTATGACAAGCCAGCTAATTGGAAGGTCCCCCTTATGAAGGTCCCATATCAGGACAAGCCAGTTAATTGGAAGGTCCCCTTATGAAGGTCCCATATCATGACAAGCCAGTTAATTGGAAGGTCACCCTTATGAAGGTCCCATATCATGACAAGCCAGTTAATTGGAAGGTCACCCTTATGAAGGTCCCATATTATGACAAGCCAGCTAACTGGAAGGTCACTGTTATGAAGGTTCCATATCATGACAAGCCAGTTAATTGGAAGGTCCCCTTTATGAAGGTTCTATATCATGACAAGCCAGCTAATTGGAAGGTCCCCCTTATGGAGGTTCCATATCATGACAAGCCAGTTAATTTGAAGGTCCCCCTTATGGAGGTCCCATATGACAAGCCAGCTAATTGGAAGGTCCCCCTTATGGAGGTCCCATATCATGACAAGCCAGCTAATTGGAAGGTCACCCTTATGAAGGTCCCATATCATGACAAGCCAGCTAATTGGAAGGTCCACCTTATGAAGGTCCCATATTATGACAAGCCAGCTAATTGGAAGGTCCCCCTTATGGAGGTCCCATATCATGACAAGCCAGCTAATTGGAAGGTCCCCCTTATGGAGGTCCCATAACATAACAAGCCAGCTAATTGGAAGGTCACCCTTATGGAGGTCCCATATCATGACAAGCCAGCTAATTGGAAGGTCCCCCTTATGAAGGTCCCATATCATGACAAACCATCTGATCAGAAAGCACCTGTGGTCAATTGAATCGTTAGGTCACATAAGATGTTTGGCATTCATATAGAAAATAAAGTTCAAACAAACAACTAGCATGTTTGAACAATATTGAACTAACCTATATTGGCAAAAGAGTAAGCTACTGGAAATTTGTGAACTGCAAATATCCCAATGGCAGTAGTTCGCTTACCTTGCCATCTACCATCTGCAATACAAGGTAGTCTCCCCTGCCATGAACTGCCAGAATCAAACCAGTGACTGACCTCGGTTTGATCTCCACACGTATCAGGAGGTCAAGGCCAACCTTAAACTTGTCATCTGAAACAGTTAATTTAATAGCCATTGGAGAACACTCTGTGCAGAGATATTTAATATGGTCCTAAGCAATCGCATCTACATGAAGAGCATCATGATTCTTCCTTCAGCCATCAGACCTTCAACTAAAGCTACAAAAAAAACGTGTCTTATCATAAGGTCAACCGTCATGTTCCCTTGTGTTTCCATTGACAAAAAAAGAAGAAAAAGAAGAAAAAACACCAATAAAAGCGCTGCCTATAGGCACCACTTGTCCAATAGGCCATTGAGTGTGATGAGAGGTTCAGTTGTTGGCAGAATTTAACATTCGGAACAAAAGCACATAGTTATGAAACCTTCAGAGTACCAGACTGATACAATTATTCATTACTTCGTGAATTCTTTACAGTGCCAGACTGATACAGCTCTTCATTCCTTTGTGAACTTACATAATTTGACATATCCTCCATCAGCTGTGAAGAAGGAACCAGCCTCCATGGCATCTGAGCAAGGCTTGATAGCAGTCGTCTCTACCGGTGTACCAAACATCTTGTCATTCAGCTTGAAGTTCTTCAGGCAACCAATGAAACTTCCAGAGACACCCTACAAATACAAATGTTCACATTAATGGGTGGTTAAGATCAAAACTGATCACAATATAACTCATTTTTAGGGAAGGCAATTTTAGACTAGAAGCTGTATGGCACTCTACTACAGACTGAACACAATCTCCCAGAATTCATACCTTGAGATTATTGGCAGCTTTCTTCTTCAGGTCCATAGGAATGCCTCCCACAAAGTAAGGTGTCCGTACATTGATGGATCTGGTACGGCCCAAGGACCGTCCATCCCCTACTCTCTCTCCATCAATCTCCAAACTACCCTGTGTTTGGGCCCGGGCAAACCTCACCTGAAAAAAGAAACAACACAAACTTGCTAACAGTGTACCCTCAAGGAGATACCTTTCCTCACTTAAATAATAAGAAGGTCTGTCCTAATTCTATGAATGATATCAGAAATATACAGTCAAACACTGTTATGACAAAACCTTTCACTAAATTATAAAAAATAAAAAATAAAATAAAATAAAATAAAATAATTCCTTTGAGGCAAGCCTAAGTTTGAGACAACAGTGACTGAACATAAAAAATGAGACTAAGTGTGTAATGAACACTTACATTATGCCACTGTCCATCATTATATTTTTTGGGACTTGTTACCACTGCGGCACCACTGCCACAGTTGAAGGTGTACACCACCTGGCCTCCTTTCATGTACAATGCAATGTGATCAATATGGCGGCTGTCAGCCATGTACATGATGATACCATCCTCAGCTGTGGTCTTAAACTGGCATTCAAACAGTGACCTGTAAACAATACAATCAACTGTGATAGCTAATATCATGTGATTACATGTCAGCAAATCTAGAAATAATTTCAAACAAAATCAAGGTTACTTAATATTTATGAACTCCCAGAATGACAACCTATAAAGATATGTTACAGTTCCTAAGCTCATGATTTATTCTCGATACACTATATTTCTATTGAAAACTTTACAAAGATTACTTCTGATTTTCAATTATATATATAATAATCAGTCTATTTCATGCAAGAAACAAATCCATTCAAATCAAATACAATACGATACAATCAAGACCAATATTTTGGTCGGAGCAATAACGTGTGCAACTGACCTAATCCTGAACCTTGAAGGCAGTTTCTTGTACTCCTCTCGACTATCAGAGGTCGACCCGAACCTGATTCCGTCAATGAGTCCTTGAACCATCATGTCTGGGCGGTCAGGGAGAGCACACTGACCAGCCATAGACATATCAGGTGTCTCAGTCACAGCTGCAAGGAGGAGGAACATCATGTTAGAAAAGTAGCAATATCCACAGAACATTCTAGGTTAAAGTAGCAATATCCACAGAACATTCTAGGTTAAAGTAGCAATATCCACAGAACATTCTAGGTTAAAGTAGCAATGTCCACAAAACATTACAGTTTAAAGTAGCAATATCCACAGAACATTCTAGCTTAAAGTATCAATATCTGCAGAACATTCTAGCTTGAAATAGCAATATCCACAGAACATTCCAGTTTAAAGTAGCAATATCCACAGAACATTCTAGCTTAAAGTAGCAATATCTGCAGAACATGCTAGCTTGAAATAGCAATATCCACAGAACATTAAAGTAGCAATATCCGCGCAGAACATTCTAGCTTAAAATAGCAATATCCACATAACATTATAGGGCTTAAAGTAGCAATATCCACAGAACATTCCAGTTTAAAGTAGCAATATCTGCAGAACATTCTAGCTTAAAGTAGCAATATCTGCAGAACATTCTAGCTTGAAATAGCAATATCCACAGAACATTCCAGTTTAAAGTAGCAATATCCACAGAACATTCTAGCTTAAAGTAGCAATATCTGCAGAACATTCTAGCTTGAAATAGCAATATCCACAGAACATTAAAGTAGCAATATCCACAGAACATTCTAGCTTAAAATAGTAATATCCACAGAACATTCTAGCTTAAAGTAGCAATATCCGCAGAACATTCTAGCTTAAAATAGCAATATCCACAGAACATTATAGGGCTTAAAGTAGCAATATCAACAGAACATTCCAGTTTAAAGTAGCAATATCTGCAGAACATTCTAGCTTAAAGTACCAATATCCACATAACATTATAGGGCTTAAAGTAGCAATATCAACAGAACATTCCAGTTTAAAGTAGTAATATCTGCAGAACATTCTAGCTTGAAATAGCAATATCCACAGAACATTCCAGTTTAGCAATTAAAATAGCAATATCCACAGAACATTCTAGCTTGAAATAGCAATATCCACAGAACATTAACATGGAAATGTTAATCCTCAAGAATATTGGTAGTACTACTGTCATTTTTAGCATTCAGGTAAGTTTTGACTCCTACCCCGGTTTCTGATAACAAATTACTGAAATAGTTTCTTTTTTTCAGAAACAGAAAAAAAGAATCAGCAAAACTAATTCTACTGACCATTTCTTTTCTTATACTGTTATTCCTACAGTTAAAGATGAATTAAATACTTTATGCTGACAAAGTCATAGCTCACCTGGTCAGAACTAGCAGCATATAGTATGAGACTTTCATTTTCAAATGTTCTCATCTTAAACGTTATGTCAAACATCTGGCCAATACTCTCCGAGGAAACAGCAGCAAAGCCCTGTCGGTTAGCTGTGAAGGAGGCGACTCTGGCAATCTGCAGGTAAACATGGCCATAATAATAAACATATCTTCACACTCTAAGGCTGACAGTGTATCTCTAAACAGTATGTCTATTTTGACATGATTCTTACAAACCAGTCAATGAATTTAAGAATGATTAATTTTTATGAAATCTTTTCATCACATTGATTAAGTTGTCACATTATCCACATGAATCTCCATGGATATATTGAAAATATTCAAAATGATATTTCTCGCATGTAAACAAATAATAAACCTAGGTAATTTAAGTTTTCATACTGATCAATCCATACAACATGTTTTCTCTTGCTGAGAACTTCCATGGTATGGGTGATAGTGGACTGGTGGATAACCAATTTTATTAATTGTGAGTGAAACTCGTCTTTCAGACATGCCACAGAGTGTAAATGGTGAATTGCATGACAAGACTCAGGCTTGTATGGTTCCTTTGCCCTTATTGACATACTAATTGTATAATGCAATACTCAACAATATTCCATCTATATGACATCTATATGCCGCATCAACTAATTCAGCTTGACTGATCACTATCCATGTAGTAGCCTCTTATGACAAGTCATGACAAGTATGGAGGGCTGTACACCAATTCTGACCTGGATCTTCAAGGGGAGAGCTTTGCATGGTGTTCCACACCACAAGTTACACTCACATGATACAAATGAACCTGAGCCCTTCAAGTGACATCTTGAATCTGCCATCAACTAATGTCAAAAGCACCTGTTGACAACCTGGGTCTAAAGATCCTAGCTATCTGTGGACTTGCCTGTTCGGGACAGCCTCTGGCGACACCAATAGCTCTCTTGTTGTCATTCAAGTCCCAGGTCTGAGTGCCAAACTGGATGTCCTTTATGCAGCCATCAAAGCCTTTAGTGGCTACGTCACTGAAATATATCACACCACTTGCAAATCACTTAAATCTAAAACAGGTCTAATCTCCACTCAATTCATATTCCTGTATGAACATTACAAAAAAAATATTTTTCATATTTGACCTAATCAACGTCAACCTCCTACACAAGGCATCAGCTGATATACTGTCATTGTGGTAACAATGACGGACTGTCATTTACTATTGACGTTTCTCCTTAAAACCCTCACTACACTTCTCCACAATCACATTTTAAGTGACTTTAACACATTCAGTGACTAAGTTTGGCACGATATTGTATTGAACTGAATTTACTTTTTCACAACATATCAGCTTATCATGGGAGGAATCTTATATCTTAACCATTTTGGAGACATCCATGAGAACAGACGTGCTGACAAAATCAAGGCAGATCAATTGCACTACAATTTAGGGCACTTTAGATTTCTGGGCTACAACCCCTCTCCAAACTGACCAAACATTTGTAAGCCTATAATTCAACACCTTGAAGTTGCCCCGTATCAAGGTGTGTGGTGTGTGACTTACTCTGTGGGTACCAGGATCTCGTTGTAGCCTCCTATGAAGATGTCATCTGATATGGACAGCTGCTTGAGATTACCTGGAGCCTCTCCTTGGTCAACTGTGGGTAGAACATAGAATACTTCTACTGTCTAGTGCAATCAAATCTTAAGTCCATGAGAAGTCTATTACCTTTTAATCTGGAGAAACAGACATGCAAATGAGATTAGAATGTTCAACTTTTGTATTTTTAAATCTACAGGTAACTTTGCACTTAATACATAGTATATCTGTCTCCATTCTACCATGCCAATTAAATGTTAGGCAAGATAATGAGTGAAACAACACACGACTGAGTCCATTCTTTCAACTGGGTTCTCAAACTGAACACAGGAAAACCAAAACCTCAAATGGACAGTTAGTGGAAATACATCGAGTCCTTTATCCAAAAGGTCACACATACTTTGAATATTGTAACCTATATTTGTACACATTTGAAAATGCCTGGTGGCTATTGATTGGACATTGGTAGAATTTCTATTACATCCCTGTTAATCTTTACAAAGCTATCTGACAAAAACAGTGGTAGCTCTAAGGCAATAGTTCCTGAGCTAAGAACATAACCAATTACCAATAACCATTCAGCCATACCAATGCATTGTGTTTCTTGGAAAAAATTTTATTTTGTTTCTTCTGAGGCTTATACGATGCACATTATGCTTTGCCTGATAACAATGACAGAAAGTGCTAGGACAAAGACATGTTACACTTCTCAAATTCCAGCGCTGCTAGTGACAAAAGAAACCATATAATAATGGGAGCGAGTATGGTTTTATGCTACTTTTAGAAATATTCCAGCCATATGACACTGGGGGGCATCAGAAATGGGCTTCACACATTGTACCCATGTGGGGAATTAAACCCAGGTCTTCTGTGTGATGAGCCAACACTTTAACCACTAGGCTAACTCACTTCCCCAATAATAATGTGACCTAACAAACACAACATGAAAATAACTGAAGGAAGTCTGACCTGTCTGGCCATCCACCTTGAGCAGTCCCTTGTTGTTCATTCTACTGGCTTGAAGCTGGTGCCAATCCCCATCATTGTACTTGTTGTCAGCCATAAGAACGGCACGATTGCTGCCAAGGTCAAACTGGAAGAAGATCTTGCCATCTCGGAGCTCCAGAGACAAGAAGTCCTTTTTGTTATCAGTCATGTACACCAGGAGACCATTCTCTGCATATGTTTTGAACTTCAAGATGACATCGATTGCTTTGTCTGGCCGAAGTCCAAGGGCTTTCTTGCTGAGGATCACATATCCCTTGCCATTGAATCGCAAACCATTTGAGCTGACACTCTTCATCACATCTCTGAAAAAAAATGAATAAAATAATAAGAGGGAAAAAAATGAATAAAATAATAAAGAGCAATGTTAAAGAAGGCACAATCATGGTACACAGACAGCACACTTATTGTCCTAAGAGTGAGTGAGTTTAGTTTTACACCACTTTTAAACCCGGGTCTTTGGCATGACAAGCAAACGCTTTAACCACTAGGCTACCCCACCTCCCCTATTGTCCTAAGAAAGCAGCATGATAAGTAAGTTACTTCTGTATAATACATCTTTATCATATGGCTTTATCTGATGATAGCCTCAACTTTTACTCGCTGAGAATGACGGTCCTGTTTCATCAACTGATCCAGCCATGGTTACCAACAATGAACGTGGGTTGAAAGTTGGCATTAGAACAAGAAGTTTGAGCTGTAGTGTATGTTGTTAAAGTCATCCAATATCCATGATATTTTATAAGATGTAAATGAGGACCTTATAGGCCAACAGCATCCTGAAAGTTAATCTGATATCCAGCAGAGGATCTTTATGCTAAAGACATCCTACCTGTAAACATTCATCATATTCATGGTAAACCTGGTCTACCTACTCTAGCCAATCAATGTACTCTATCCAGATCAAAACAAAACTATGATGATGATGATGATTATGATGATGATGATTTGGAGATTTCATGTGCACTGAAAATATTAGTATTTTGCTCACAGTAGAACCAAAACTGGATTCATAGTAAGAAAATGCATGTGCAATGGACAAATACCGTTCATTCTCTCCAATATAGTTGTTATCTGCAGTAATGAAGTTCCAGAGTCCTAGAGACTGCTCATCAAACTTGAGATCCTCCATGACACCAATGTACCTCTGACCATTAATGTTACTTGGGAGCTGCAAAACATGAAAATAGCAACTTCTTGAAAGTTACTTCATGATAAAATACAGTCATTATGCTCAAACCAACACTTATCAGTAGAAACATGTAAACATACTAGTGTTTATCCATTGCACTAAATCCTTCAAAGGCACTTTTATCAGTCATTGCATTGAGAGTGAGCGTGTCTGGTTTTAAGCCCCTTTTAGCAATATTCCAGCAATATCATGGCAGGGGACACCAGAAATGGGCTTCACACGTTGTACCCATGTGGGGAATCGAACCAGGGTCTTCGGCGTGACGAGCGAAAACTTTAACCGCCCCTTCAATGCATAGTTAATAAGATCCTCTGCAAAGTATGATAAATATTGTGATCCCCTTTATCACATATTCCAAGACTACTTACCACCATTCCAAGAGGTGCCCCTCCCACGTAGAAGACAGCAGTGGCAGGGTGAAGTCCCAGAACAGTGAACGTCCCATCAGAAGTGCCCTCAACATCGTCATCATCCTGTTTGTCCGTCTGGACTTTCAGGTAGCCAGTCTTGCCAATCCTGAAAACAAGAGACACCGACATATATTGTGTTCATGTAACAATAGAGCAGGGCCTAGATTTTCGAAGCTCTCTTAGCGCTAAGATAGTCGTAAGTTAATGTCAATGAATGGCACTTATGACTGTCTTAGCTCTAAGAGAGTTTCGAAAATCTAGGCCCTGGACCTTAGAAAAATATCCCTACATCAGATTAAGTTTGCACAAAAATATGATACTGTGTTCTGTGGGAAAATGATGAACATGTACTGTCATGTAATGAATGACATGAGAAACGTTGTTTCATGTCAAACTGATCAATATTCCAGATTTGTGATGACTGCATGTAAATAATCAAATCTGGACAAAGTTAGCTTAAGTGGTTTTTACACTACTTTTAGCAATATTCCAGCAACATCATGGTTGGGGACACTAGAAATGGGCTTCACACATTGTACCCATGCAGGGAATCGAACCCGAGCCTTCGGCGTGATGAGTGAATGCTTTAACCATTGGGCTACAAAACATCCCCTCAAATCTGGACAAGACAATCCTTTGATATCATGCACTACAATCTGTACTATTGGGGTATGATAAAGTCCCAGGACCAAATCCATCTGGTACCCTCTTTGACTTGGGACCTAATCATTTATCAACAAATGTGGCTTGGAATCTGTTCAAAATCCCAGTCCTATCAGAGCCAGAGAAACTATTATTATAACTTTTATTATATAAAAAAATAAGTTCATGAAAACTGCATGTAGACTTTAGCAAATATCATTTGGCGTATACCAGTACATTTTCCATCATCTAAATGCCATTGTTGACATCTTTCAAATCTGTTTTGACACTCTGAATGACATTACACTTGAAACAATGCCACAGCTGAAGATTGTTTTTCTCATTTGACAACTATGATATTCTGGGACGATGGCTGTGATTGGTGAATTTTTCTAAAAGAGGATTTTCAAGGGATCTCAACTCATGTAAGAATTCATGCATTACCTTTGCTTTTGCATTGAGAAATACAAGAATTCTGGCACTCTTTTCATAAAATAAGTAAAACAGACATTCTTGTCTAGTAATCTCTATGTCCTGACCTTGTGGCAGTGATCTGATGCCACTGGCCATCATTGTAGGTTCCAGAGCTGATGATGTTGGCAGGGCCAGATCCAAGGTCAAACCGGAACACCACCTGGCCATTCAACATTTCCAGGGCAATGTAGTCATCCTGAAACAAAACCACAAGTCTTAGGCCATAAAAAAACAATTAGCAGATTTTCAACTGAATCTTCCAAATTTTTTTTGCATATGTGTGTACTGATTGTCAGCTATGGTTTTTCACATACAGCATGTATATTGTGTATTTCAAGTCTTCTTGTAGGAATTTAGGGACTTGACTCTATTATCACCTCAAAGGAGGCAATCTTATTCAGACAATGCAACTGTGGCCTGGGTACAAGACTGTCCACAAAGATGAGACAAGCCTTTGTGATAGAACTATCAATGGAACAGAGCTCTACCATAACTTTTATCCCTCCTGGACATCCCAGCCAAATGCAGCCCTATTTCAAAGAATCATGGCTTGTCATGCACTGACTGAACATTTGAGTATGCATAAAAGCAATCAGTTGACTCACTTGTCTGCCTGATCTCTGGTCTCCTCCCATGTAGTAGAGCATACCATTTTCTTGGCTGGTCTTGAAGAACAGGGAGATCTTGCTGTAGGACCCTGCTTGCTCCAGATTGGCTGGGTTACGCAGAGTCAGAGATGTGTTGCCCAAGAATCGGATTCCAACTCGGATCTGTCAAAAAGGACCAAAACCAACTTCTTACAAAAAATGCTATTGTACTTGCCTGTTTACATGCTTCGATGACTGGACTCACTTCAACCAGAGAGAATGAATTTAATAATCCTACTTAGAGACAATTCTACATTTTGGAATAAGAATGATGAATAAATTGCTCATGATTTTATGTTGAGAGATCATTATTTCAACAAATGTTACCCTGTTAGCCTCGTCTCTGGCCAGTGCTATCTTCTCTTTGAGTTTTGCCATGTTGAGGTTGACCCTGTTGCCGAAACCTGTCATGTTGCGAGCCTGTTCTTTCAGGGGAGCCAAAAGGAGGGTCAGACGATTGATGTCTCTTGCACTGTTCACTGAAACAGTATCATGATCCTCTAGTGATTGTCTCTTAAAGCCATAACCAGAAATATTTTAAGGTCATGATAGCAGGCAACCTGGACCAGTGGTTAATTACATGGACATCACATCATAAGATTTACAGGAAAATTTTAACTATAAATTGTTTATTTATATACTTATCCTATCTCACGGTATGCACTTCTCTCTCTTGCTTTGACACACATTCGCCCATGCACTCCATGCTGCCCAACCAAAGCATGCAGCATTCCCCACTATCTACCCACGTGACCACCTTTGAATCATCATTCTCCTTCTTGGAGCCACTAGGATAATCTTGGTCTTGGATAATCTGCATAGCGGGGAGGTTGGGCGGGAATCCATCGCTTGAGATAGGATAAGTATATAAATATACTATTTATACTTCAAATTTTCCAATTTTTAAACTTATCCTATCTCACGGTATGCACTTATCCCACGGTTCGACAGCGCAACGCAGATTCCCTATGTCTTGACAGTGTGAACAGCAGGAACTGTGTAGACTGGAAACAACCGTAGATAGCGATGCACAAGGGAGGCCTGTTACGACTAGCTCAACTCCTATGCTTGTGATCAGTTCTCCTGAACTCCTTGGCTTACTAAGCACAACGTCTCCCAGGGAGATGGGTGCTCCCGAGCGATGTGGTGTTTGGCTGCAACCTCCGAAGAACGGAAGGACGCAACTCGGCAAGTAAGGCCTCGTGTTGGCACAATTTACAAAGTACCCCCGTAAATAAAAGTCTTTTGACAATAATCGGGCCTGCCCCTGCTTTGAGAAAACCCGCACAGACACCGACCAGAGGTGGTGAAAGAGAAGCACAACTCAGAAAGCTCACAGTTTTAACGTTCAGTTCCAGTCAACATCAAATTGACCCCACTCCTTTACATAAGCTTAGTGAAAGGATGAGCCTGGCAACTTCGAAGCCAGAACGCAACGAAATCCACTGGAATTCAGGAGTGACACACATCACTGACGTAACTGCTTCAAAAAGTAGAGGTCAGGAAGTGTGAAATGTCGAACCCTTCCACATCATGATACAGAACCGTGCTCCAGATTCATCCAACCACCGGGTGGTAGTATCTCCATGTCTTAGTATAAAACTAAGTGAAGTAGTTCTAATCCATAAGCAATAAGAACATAAGGCAGACAATAAGTTCAGACTTATATTCCGGAAAATACAGGGAAGCAGCAACCGCGTGGTACCGTTCCTTATCTGCGTTGTTGGGCCGTGGGCAGCTGTTGTGCTAGAACAAGTGGTCCAAACTGGTACAGACCTTTCCTTGACCGAAAGATCCCGAAGGTAGTGGGAGGAGAAGAATCGAGTCTTGATCGCCAAAAACACCCTTCCATAATGGCGTGGAGAGAACAGTTACTATGCAGAGCCATAGTAGAAGCTAACGCCCGTGTCTCATGTGGACTGGAAGCTGTCGGGGATGGTAAACCAGCAAAGGTGTAAGCCCGTAAGATGGTGGCCCTCATCCAAAAGGATAATGGGGTGCGAGACACTTCTGCCCTAGATGTTGAAGATAACGGAATGAAAAGGTGCTTGTGGAGATGCTGGCAATCTTTAGAAGCAGCAAGGAAAATTCTCAAAGCCCTAACAGGGCAAATCTGCGGGTCTTCAATGTCGTGAGGCCCAAGGATCATGGACAACAGTGGGATGGTAAAAATACGATCAGGTTGTCCAGGCATCTGATTCTTCGCTACAAAGTCCCAGCGGAGACCGGGGAAGACTTTGCCATGCTTCTTCCTTTCGAACTGGACTCTGTTAACATCCAAAGCATGGAGTTCAGAAATCCGAGCAGCTGTAGCCAAGGCCACAAGGAAGAATGTTTTGAAGGAAATCTTCTAAAAATCCTTCTGATCTAGGGGTTCATAGTCCGTCGAGGCCAAATGACGCAGCACCACAGACAAATCTAAATCTAAATCAGGAGGTCTAAATTTCGTAGACTGATCAGCCAACTTGAAGGACCAGAGCAAATACTGAAGCTCAGGAACCGTAGAGACCTTAGATCCTGTGGTGGTAGCCAATACCGAGTTGACAGCAGCAAGGTAAGTGGCCAAAGTGGTCCCTTCCTAGAAAGGAAATGCTGAAGAAATTCAGCGACGTTTTGAGGTGAAGTAGAAATTGAAAATGCCTCTGGACTCTGGATATCCCTCAAAACACTTCCACTTCTCATCATAAATTTTTACAAACCTGGAGAGGTTATGAATTCTTTGAAGAAAAGTCCTCCTTGGGGTACATATAAGCATTAAAATGTCCATTTTAAAAGCCTACGACAGTTGTAACAATATTTCAATAAAATATTTTACCAAACAAAAAACTCGTTATGTGTGGTGAGACCACCCCTACAGGGCCCCGTAGAGGGCCCCCTACAGCCAAGAGCAGGTAACTCTGGCTGTGTAATTCCTCGAACCTCACTTTTCATGCTGAACGGTCAGACAGAATGAGGGGAGGTGGGCGGTCAGATTACAAAGGAGGACTTTTCTTCAAAGAATTCATAACCTCTCCAGGTTTGTAAAATTCTTTTCAGAAGAAGTCCTCCTGGGGTACATATAAGCATAAGACAGACTCCCAACGATGTTGAGTCGGGAGCTGCATTCTGTCTGCCTAACATACCCCCAAAGTTCAGTCGAAGGCACAGCCGCCGAGAGAGAGAGAAAGTACACTCACCTAGTCACCTGACCGCTGATGTCAATCAGGCGGGGGCGTGGCAAGGCGGGGGAAAAGGAGCCTAGCCGATAGGCTATTGGTGGAATTTATAAAGACTGATGCAAGTCCCACCCCCCAACCATCAAAATGGGAGGGAAAGTATGGGCGAGTCCAATATATATCCCTCAGCAACCCAAACCAGCGAAGCGTGGTGCAGGGATGAACACAGTGACTGTAGCGAGTGATAATCGCTACATACGGTAAAAACCACCACCAAAGTGATACCACCACCGATAAAAAATGAGGAATTTATTAACACCTACACCATGAGAAAAGCAAACGTGATTTCTAAGGCTCATTCGGCTAGAGAATCACGACACTGTCCACTGGTGAGAACTGTCTGGCCAAACCAAGCACGCTCCCGTGAGTGTTTGTCCAGCTGATAGTGGCGGATGAACGTACTCGGTCGGCTCCAGATAGCCGCTGAGCAGATCTCCTCAATGGGCAGTGCTGCAGCGTATGCTTTTGATGTCACCACTGCCCTAATCGAATGAGCCTTTAAACCCTGAGGGATGGTTAATCCTTTGTAAGAGTAACTCGAACAAATGGCAGAGACAAGCCACCTAGATATGGTCTGCTTGTTCGGCTGAAGACCAGCCTTTACCACCGCTTATAACAACAGAACAGCTGCTTATCTTTCCTGATAGCAGCCGCTCGCTTGATATAAGCCTTGAGAGTCTTACGGACATCTAAGACGGAGCACGCCGGAGAGGTACCGGACGATGGAGGCTGAGTGAAAGCTGGCAGTTCGATAAGGCCGTTATATGAAAGGCTGTACTCGCAACCTTAGGACGGTAGGAGTCTGGCAACCGAATGCTGACTCTGTCTTTGTGAAAGACAGTCAGAGCAGGATCCACTGACATCGCATGGATATCACCTACCGCCTGCCAGACGCTACCGCCACAAGAAAGGCAGCCTTCCAACTTAACAGCTGGAGTGAAAGAGACGCACAGATCGTGAAAGAGAGGACCGGACATCCAATCAAGAACGATTGACAAGTCCCATCGGGGACTAATCCGCCGACAGTCGGACGGATTCTGTCCACGCCTTCGCTAAAAGCTTGTACTAGAGAGGTGCTGCCCCAAGAGAGCACCGTCGGCAGGGATATGGAAGGCAGAGATTGCCGTGGAGTAGCCCCCGATAGTAGACGCCGCTAAACCGGCTTCTAACCGAGACTGCAAGAACTCCAGTACTTCAATTACAGCTGAAGAAAAAGGGATCAAGAATCCCTCTGCCGACACACCAGCGCTGCGATAACAGGCCCATCTATCCTCATACTGAACGCTTTGTCGAATCCCTCCGCCGGGCCAGAATTGTGTCTGCAACTGGTGCAGGAATTCCGCCACAGCGAGGAAGCATTCCGACAGAGGCCAGGCCACCCACTGAATCCTGGGATTCGGTGCGGCCCCGCTCTGGGATAGTAAATCCGGCTCGAAAGGGTAATAGTACAGGAGGCTGAGCCAGAAACCTGAGAGAGTACGGAAACCAGCTTTGAGCCGACCAAAGGGGTGCAAGGAGCACAAGTCGAGCTGGTTGGGTGGCAAGCTGCAAGAGGACTTTTGGGAATCAGGGTAGTGGCGGAACGCCCACAGAACCCTGTCCGTCCAATCGAGCTGGAAAGCGCCTTGGGCGATGGCTCGGATCCGGTATCCGAGCAAAACACCGAATCTGGTTTGTCCCCCAGATGCAAACAGATCCACCTGGAGCGACCGAACAACTGGGAGATAGCCCCAATATCCCCGATGGAGCATCCACCGCAGTGGGGCCAGGATACGGCGAGAAAGTGCATCTGCTCGAACGTTGTCCTGCCCCAGGGAGATAAACAGGCATCACCCGTATGTCGAACTGGTCGCACCAGAGCAGAAACTGCCATGCCTCCTGCAGAAGAGACGGGAAACCAGACCGCCCTGCTTCAGGATGTAGGTCATTGCCGCCTGGTTGTCCATCTCGGCGACTCGGACCACACGGCCTTGAACCTGCTCCCGAAGTCGTTTGAACACCAACCTGACTGCTCTCAATTCTAGCACATTGATGTGCAGTTGTGCTCTCGCTCTGTGACCACAGGCCTGAGACCCGACTGGCGCCCCACGCCCCCACCCTGTGAGGGAAGCGTCCGTCTGAATTGAGAGAGATCTGGCGATGGGATGTCCAAAGGAGCCCCTGGATAAATTCCCTGCCAGTGTCCACCACCGTAAATGAGGAATTAGCCACCCTGGAGTGTGGAGAATCAACTCGTAACCCTGGGTGTGGACCCACATTGAAGC